CAGGAGAAATGTGTAGAGTGAGGAATTTCAGTATTGAAAACTTTGAAAACTTTCAATGGAACCTCTTAGCGCTAAAGAAAATTAGGAATGGATACTATGAAAACCCAGATGATCTCTACAGTGATTTTGCAAAGATGTTTAAAAGCATCTATGAACAATCTTTTCCATGGAAGAAAGTTAACAGAAAAAGGAGAACTTGGATAGACTCTGAAGTGAAGGAGGCAAGAGAATGGCTATTGATACTACAAAGATACGCAAATGACTCAGAAGAGGCCAATGAAAGTTTTTAAAGTTTTCAAAGAAAATACTTGACATTATTAAAAAGAAAAAAGTCGGAGCATATTCAAAAAGCAATCAACAATAGTAAAATCCGTCAAAAACTCTGTGGGATCAAGTGAAGAGAAACTCAAATTTTAAAGAAAAAAGTAAAAATAATTTTATTTTAAATAGGAATGAAATACCACCGCATGAAATAATGAATGAATACAATAAATTTTCAACGACGATAAAAGAAAGGGTTACTCTCATCAAAAGCAATCTAGATCCACTAGCAGTAGTACCTAGAATAGAAAATACATGTGTACTACATCCGATGGATATCTATGAAGTGGAGACCATTATAAATGAACTGAAAAATAAAAGTTCAGTGGGTGAAGATCAAATCCCCATCCAGATTATAAAAAAATCAGTCAAACACACACGTGAAATAATAGCGAGAGTTTTCAATCTTATGATAGAATGTGGGCAGTACCCATCTGCCTTAAAAATTGCAAAAATTATTCCGATCTACAAGAAAGGAGAACCCTCAGAGTACAGTAACTACAGGCCACTAGCACTGCTGCCTAATTTCTCCAAAATATTTGAAAAGTTAATTTATAAAAGGGTATATAAGTTCCTAGAAAAACATAGGATCTTTTGCAGGAAGCAGTTTGGTTACAGGAAACACTGCTCAACGACGGAAGCTTTGTTTGAGATATTAGACGAAATTACACAGGATGATTTACAACATCCAAATCTAGCAGTGTTTTGTGATCTAACAAAAGCGTTTGACTTAGTTGATAGAGACTTGCTGTTAAAAATTTTGGAGAAAGTAGGCATAAGAGGAAAAGCGGGCAGTGTCTTACGGTCATATTTACATCAGTGGCTTCAATATGCTGAAGTTAAAGTAGAAGGAAAAACGTACATCTCAATGAAATTATTAAACGAATATGGAGTCCCCCAGGGTAGTATCTTAGGGCCGCTTTTATTTATAATCTATGTAATGTATGTAAATAATGTACTAATGAGTGGCTCGGCTGTGGATTATGTAGATGACAAAACAGTGGTTTTCAAACAACTAAAAAACGAGGAAGATTGGAAATCAGTAAAGAAGGATGTAATTAATCTAAGAGAACTATATTCAGCCATGTCGCAGTCATTCAGCACGGAATAATCAGTATACATGCTATTCGGCAAAAACGGAAAGCACGAAGTGAACTTGATTCAATGGAAAGACAGCCAACCACTGGGTGAAATCGAAAGGGTGAATAAACACAAAGTACTAGGACTAATAATACAGGAAAATATTGAATAGAATGAGCATATAGACGCGATAGTAAAAAAACTAGGATCCTACAGCTATGCAATAAATAGACTAAGACACTTACGAAACAGAGCTGATTTGATTAAGCTTCATTATGCCTTCATCTACTCGACGATAAGATATGGGATAATGTTCTGGGGAAACTCGAAAGGAGTTGATAGAGTATTTAAACTTCAGAAAAGAGTACTTCGTAACATTTTTGGACTTAAAAAAAGAGAAACATGTAAACTGATATTCAAAGAAAATGAATTAATGACTGTATACAATATTTATATAAGAGAGTCAGTTTTGTTTGTAAATAGAAATAAGCACTACTTTGAATTTAATAGAGAAAAAGAGAACTATAGAGGTAGAAATGAGGTGGACATAAGTATATCAGAGATACCAAAAGGAATGATTGCCAAAGGGCCCAAATACAATTGCTCAAAGATATACAACAAACTCCCTAGATATATTAAAGAAATTGAAGAGAGAAGCACCTTCAAAAGAAGAGTAGATACATTTTGTAAGGAGAATGTATTCTATAGTATTGATGAATATTTAGAGTAAATTATGTATATTAGATTTATAACAATTTTTACTTTGACTTTGTAATCTTTTGTTTTAAATCAAAAGAAACAATAAATTATTATTATTATTATTATTATTATTCCAAAAATATCTGCGCTTCAAACTTCCATAGTTGGTAGTTCGCACTTCAGTTTAGAGATGTTGATATATCCCGCTTTTATCACGGATTCTGACTCCCTTTTGAATTTTATTATTTTATTTTATTTATGTTATTTTATTTTTAAATTTTTATTTCTTATTGTCCGCGTTCACACCGCATTCCACATCACGCGATTTTATTTTATTTTTAAATTTTAATTTCTTACTGTCCGCGTTTACACCACATTCCGCAGTAAGTATGCGATTTTATTTTATTTTTTAAATTTTTATTTCTGACTGTCCGCATTCACACCACGTTAACGCGATACGAACACTTCGATACACTTTCACTTTTGGGTCAGCTGGGCCCATAACCTGTCGTTTTTAGCGAAAATAATATTAACCAAGATTAGGAGAAACGAATTAGATTATTATTACCAAAAAGAGAGACATCTTGCTCTTTCGCAAGAGACTAACAACGAACTAAACTATCATGGCGGGACGCCATTCGGACATGAGTCTCAGTCCACTCGCTGAGAAGGTGAAGCTCCCGGTCTTGAGTCTCCAGCTGAAAAATACCTTTCCTTACTGATAAAAGGGTTTTATTTCATACATCTGTCTTTATTCATCTTCTTTCGTTCAACGTTGTTTTATTTCACTCGTGCAGGTATTTTTCAGCCAGGGCACAATTCCAGGGAGTTTCACCTTCTCTTCACATGGTTGCAAATTATTCTTAACAATTATTCTTTTTCTTATTTTTACTCTAAACAACAGACTAAGGTCGAAAAACATTCAAAAGAGCTATCTTCAAGTAAAAAAAAGGCCGCTAAACACGACATCCCAGTCAATTTTCACATCGTGGGAATCAAGTTACAACTATACTTTATGGATGTGTTGTATAAACGGTTAAAAGCTGTTACGTGCGTCAATATAAAAGTTGTTTCCCTCTTTCTTGAACCTTGGGCGTGGCGATTTATCAAATTTTCGCCATTTTTGGCTCTATGGAACGATTTTTCTCAAAAATTTGGCAATGTAGAAAAAACTTTCACGAATATTATTGATTCATTTTTTAGCGATCTTTTCAAAAACGTATACGGTACTTAGTTTCAATCGAGTTCTGCGTGTGTAAAATTGAAAAAAACTCCAAAATGGGCTGAAAACGGCAAGAATGGACCATAAGGTCCCTTAAAACTTGTCTGAGGTCTTTTTAAAGGCCAGAAATGGAAAGTGCGCAGAAAAATACATGGGAATCATCTACTGGAAGAGTGATAACAGTGGAAAAAGTCGACGAAAATAACTATTTTTTGATGCCAGGATTTTGGGTTTGAGTCGTTGTTGCACATTTGCATGGGCTCCGTTCGGTAAAAAAATATATAGCATAGAGTCTACATAGGATAGGACTAGTACTTAGAAATATGAAGTTTTTAGCAAAATCCAGGTGGGGTCGGAAAAGGCCCAAAACGATACTCCTCCTTTCGAATTTTTAGCCAAAGCAAGGACGATAGCCCATGCGTTCAAATCTAAAGAATCATTCTAAACCCAAAAATCGGAAAAATTCAGGAAGATAAAAGCCGAAGAGTGTTAGGAAAAAAACCTTACATTCGTTACAGAAATCAATAGCTGTATCGAATACTAGGTTTTTTTCAAAACACAATTCTGCTTTCATTTCTCTAATTTTTGCCAATGTTTGTGCCAAGAAGAATTCTTCTGCCTTCGGCGTAGGGGCTATCGTCCTTTTTTTTAGGTACTAAAAAGTCAAAATCTGCTGAGATTTTTGACCTAATCAATGTGATATATCACATGCCAATTCAACCACTTCACTTGAGCTAGATGAATCACCGTAAATCTAATTTGATTTGTGTCGATTGCTCTAAGTCTCTTGTGTTAGCTAAGTATTTCATCTTATGCGTTAAAAAAGTTCTCCGTAAAAAGAGTGGATGTGGTCATTTTTTAAAATCACTGAATAACATTGATATTTGCATCACATTTCAATTTCTAAAGCTCATTTCTTTGAGGAGGATTTGCTCAATGAGAAATTTCGTGACAAAACGCTATTTGCTGCACTGTCATCCATTAAATGGCGTTAAGGTGATTCGTCAAGCTCAAGTTACGTGGTCGAACTGGCATACAATATATCGCATCTATTAGGTAATAAATCTTGGCAGATTTTGGATTATTAGCAAAAATGAGGACGATAGCCCCTGCGTATGAGCCTGAAGAATCACTCTAATCCCAAAAATCGGCAAAATTCAGAGAAACGAAAGCAGAATAGTGTTTGGGGAAGAACCTCGCATTAGATTCAGCTATCGATTTCTGTAACGAATGCAAGGTTTTATCCTAACACTAGTCTGCTTTCATTGCTCTGAATTTTGCCGATTTTTGAAATTAGAATGATTCTTCGGGCTCATGCGCAGGGGATATCATACTTTTTTCGCTGAAAATTCAAAATCTGCCGCGATTTTTTACTTAATGCGATACGATACGATGCGATATATAGCATGCCAGTTCGACCGCGTCACTTGAGCTTGACGAATCACCTTAAGAACGTGGGATATGAATGTCACAAAACTTGAAAACTCGACATCCGCTGTTAACACACATATGACTTCATACGCAGAGTTACAGAAACAGTAACAGTACATAACCCTTGCAACTAACTTGTGTCAGGCCCTTATGAAATTGAGATTTTAAAAAATGCAGTATTACGATGAATTGTCAGTAATTGTTGATGAGTACAGTTTATTAAGCGGAGAGGAAAATTATTACTCACTTAAATCTTTCTCTACTTCATCCATTTCAAATTCCGGCATTCACCAAAGGTAACCAAAGGCATTGACAGGGTTGAGGTGCAGCACAGACAGAACACATAACAAGGTGTAACAAGGTGAGATAAGAGAAGAGGTGCAGTGTCTGCAGTGTCGAACCAAAAATCGAAGTCAGAATTTCGACTTGATTTCGACTTCTGAGTTATCCGCTGAGTTGCTGAGCTCAGCGAATGTGTAAACGTTTTCTGAGGTTATCAGCTGGCAGTTTGTAAACAAGAGTCGACTGTTCAGCAGAGATTCCTTCCTTGAGCATGGACCAATAGAATTATTGGTAAATATTAGAAAATCGGTAAATAATATTGGTAAATAATAGAATATTCTATTGGTCCATGCCTTGAGCTCGGAATGTAGGGTTGACAAAAATCCTGCCGAATTTCCATCGCCAACTGTCTGGTGCGCAATCGGGAGCATCGATGTTCCTTTCTGCAGACTCACTGCACTCCCCACGCGCCGCAGGATTTTTGTCAACCCTCGCCTTTCGGGCCGCAGGATTTTTGTCAACCCTCGCCTTTCGGGCCAAGCAGGAATCTTTTAAACTCAAACCAACTTAAACGCCCTTTTTTTAAAGGGAAAATCTGCATGATTTCTAATCTATTATCTATATGATTAGGAATTGTAAGTAATAAAGACCATAAGGAATACAAAAAATACAAATAAGGGGCCGTCCATAAATTACGTAAGGCTCTTAGGGGGAGGGGGGGGGTCTATAACAGCCTTTCGGTGCCTTACGAGAGGGGAGGCCTCGGCTGAGCCTTA